GCCCAAAATTAGCCAAATCGGTCCAGCCGTTCTCGGGTTTTAGCGAGACTAACGAACAGCAATATATAATATCATTTTTATATAATATAGAGATAGAATTAAGCATCTACCAATATTCTTAACATTATTAAATACATATAATTTAATTACTTCTATAAATTTCAATAACCATGCATTCATGAAACCTGCTGCGTAGAAATGGTACATTATTTTTTGGAGTCTAGAATAGTTGTTGTACAAAATCAATTGAGATATCAATGTTTTCAAAAGTTTAAAAGGTTATTTATTATCTCTAGGTGGGCATCGACATCACTATGGCCGACGGTGACAGTCACCTCTTAAACCTCTTCTGGTGGCGTTGGGATTGGGTTTCAGCCAATAAGTTTTGAGTTTCACGTTAAGAAATAATTTGAAGTAGAATTTTTATAAATTTACTGGCTTTATTGGTGAAAACACTGAAAACAACGCTCCAGGAAAAATAAAAAGACTGCAAAACACCGTGCATATTATTGCTGTTTTGTAGTCTGTTAATGTTTTTCAAAGATGTTTAAATTTTGTGCTCCTTTAATTATTATTAAACTAAATACTTTTCATGTTATTATTATACTTTAAAAACAATAGACGAACAAGTACCAAATATTTCTCACAATCGCTGTCACATATTTTGCTTTTCCCTTTTGTTGTGAGTAATATAATATAAGTTACTGATGTTGTAAAACTTCCCGTCCTTTATATGTTTGTCGCTCTTATCGTTTGCTGGAACAAAAGTCATAAATGGATTAAGGTCACCTATCTACAAAAACTTATGTTCTTACTGTATAATTTCTATGTGCATTCAAAAAAATATACAAAATGGACATACGCTTAGTGCTCACTAAAGTTGTTTATGAGAGATCAGAGTTACCACACTGTGATAGCTGCCGCCCACCCTCGAACGTGTGATTGCAGATTTAATTTAGCAACTTTTTAGTTAAATTAACAGTCCACAGTACTCACATTGAGCTAATTAGCTGAAACATAGCCTTATAGAGTATACCGATGCATCTCTTTCGGTGGGGGTCCTATACGTGTTCGGAACTTTATAACCAGCGTATTACGATCACATTTACTGGGGTTAAGGCGTATTGTGAACTGACATGGATACCCATCCGTACGAAATTTTAGCTATTTTCAATATTAAATCTCCCGACAAAGAAGCGACCATTTACGTTGTGTACTTTTACTACTTTACTACCTAAAGTCGTGGTGTAAAAGATAATATGATCGGTGTATCAAGCTATGCGACCATGTCGATCTTCAAATCCCGTAGTCAGATATCTATTTTATCAAAAGGAAATGCATACTTAAAAATACATCTACAAAAGACTTCCGGGATGAAGGAATAAAAATGTATTCAAATCAAATTCGCAAAAAAATTTATGTATTAATTTCCGTAATTACTGGTAGCAAGCAGGGCATTGACAACACCAGCCTGCCTATTACTGCCTCAAAGCAATCATCTATTCCAGTTTGAAGGATAAAATTGCCGTTATACAATACAATTGTGACTTTGTCCTCACGTCTCAAGGTGGATGGCAGCGTTCATGTTGTTCTAATAGACATTTTGCGTCACTAGGTGGTGTGTAAGCTCATTTACCAATCTAGGCAATAAAAAGATATACTGCAATAACAAATAAACAAGGGTGGAGTGCGCTTGTCTAGCGTCAATAGAAGTTTCATGGGTGTGGCACGTCACATAAACCTGGGGTAGAATGTACATAAGATCGATAAGTTATGATCGATGGGGTGAACATAATTTTGTGCACATTGTTTCTACTATACATTTTGTACATGAATTTACAAGAATTTATATTTCGGACGAAATCCTCATCAGACTTAGTGAATTAAAAAAAAAGGAAATTTCTAGACCTATAGGACATATTTATTTTATATTTACTTTATTTTAGTAATTAGCACTGGAAGGCTTCCCAAAAGATGGATTAACGACTGTTGAAGGTCGAGGGAATCCGCTGGATGCAAGCAGCGCAGAACCGGTCATTGTGACGAGGTTTGGGGGAGGCCTAAGTCCAGCAGTCTGTGAGCTGAGAGATTAGCGCTAAGCTTAGATTATGTTCATTACCATTGATATGCTTAGAAGGCATTCCTGAATACAGTGTAGCACTAACGCGACTACTCGTAAAACATTAATCAAATGAAGTACAGAGAAACTGACGTGTCATTACTATGTCGTGCTATTACACAAAGTTTATCATTCGTGTAGACAATAATTAGCGTGTTGTTTTATTCTCGTCAATGTACGCTGTTTTTTAAGAACCGTACCTATCAAACGAGTTATATATTAAGTCTTCGATCGTCAGCAATGGAAAACTGGTTGTTGCTTGACGGCAAAAATAGGCAGAATGTGGAAAATCTCTGTGGGGACTTTAATACCTCCTATCAACATATTATTATGTTATTCCTTTCATAAAATGTACTTCATCGTTCAAAAATGTCTAAAACGTGTATAATTAAATCGCATCATTAATTCAGTTTGAAGAGTGCTTCTTGTCTACTCAAAGTTCACATATAGCAGATATGTATTTAGATGTGGATAACATCGCAAATCAACTCTATGGAGCTACTGTATGCCAAACGTTAAATAAAACATTTATGTAGGCAGTTTTAATTTGTAGGAAAAAACAATTCAATTGTGAAATCACAATCATCAAAAGCCGTCAAACGCTGGCTTAAAATTGTCACTATTCCACTGTCGAGTTTTCTACAAAAGGCTTTGCCTCGTCATGAAGATTGCCTTGTCTTATTCCTTTTTATTCAGGTCTTGGTAGCATTGAAATGATACCTGTTCGCCGACTCGTCTCAATGTTTTCAATCGTTTAATTGATCAAATTAAAACATAGCATATAGATGAACAATCTCGATCGATGCCAAAGGCTATCATATAAAAGTTTTATTGCGTACAACTTGCGCTTTGTTTTGTCATAGAAGAGTAACAAATAATAAAAAGTAGAGGTGCCGCAGTAGTCGAAATTCGACTATAATTAATTGGAACTGTAAGTTTGTACACTATTATGATTGTATTTTATACTTATATAATCACAAATTTCGCCAAGACTACACTATAAAAAATATTAACAAAGACAAACAATATTTAATCTATTCTCAATTTGACAACAGACGTCAAGAACAAAAGTTTGACAATAAATAGTATACATGCGTGTGTGCGTCAAATACATGGTATGTAGTGTATGTAATGTTTTATTTATTGATTTTATGTATATTTTAAGCATTATTTAAAAAAATATTACCATTGTGCACTTCTTCTCTATATTCTGTATAAGTGTGGAAAATTTCATAGTCCTCCGTCCGCGCAATTTTCGTAAAAAGGGATACAAAGTTTTTGCTTCACGTATTAATATATAGATATATACATATGTACTTATATATATTGCAAATATTCGCATTTCGACTTGCTTTAATACCTACCCTTTATTTACAAAATTCAATAACGTAACGAGTTAAACGTTCTTCCTTTGTTAAGTGATATAATCTAATATTTGAATCACAATAGCTCTAGGATATAATAGAATAAAGTTGCCAAACAGACTTTGGGTCAAGGTTTATCTCCTGCATTTAATATTTACGGGAGCTGAAATGGGCACTGAAGAATTACATTATGTTATTCAATATTTTTATTTTTTTGCTGTCGGAGATAGTGACCGTGTCGGAATCACTTAGATTTAGAGCGTATATTTATTAACAGTAAATAAGGATGAATAATAGATATCTTCACTTTGAAAATTTCATTATCATTGTAAATTCATAATGGGTTCGCGTGTGGCTTCTATGGAATTTGATTACGTCGGTGAATCATTTACTTACCCTGAATTACTTTACTTTAACTAACTTAACATTAACTTTAAAAAAATTTTGTAACTTATGTAGTTGTACGAGATATTTTCCAATTTCTCAATTTGGAATAAGGTTAGTAATGTTAAAGATGATTCTAGACTATTGTCTACTTTTATATACTATGTACGATTGGGTCTTTAATTTTGCGGTTTAAATACAGTTTATGACCACTAACAGTAGATACATAATATACTACTGGTGGTAGGACCTCTTGTAAGTCCGCACGGGTAGGTACCGCCACCCTGCCTATTTGTGCCGTGAAGCAGTAATGCGTTTCGGTTTGAAGGGTGGGGTAGCGGTTGTAACTATACCTGAGACCTGAGAACTTATATCTCAAGGTGGGTAGCGTATTTACATTGTAGGTGTCTATGGTCTCCAGTAACCACTTAACACCAGGTGGACTGTGAGCTCGTCCACCCACCAACGCAATAAAAAAAAACATTTTTTTCAGTTTCAAGTATCCCAGCTATTGTGTAGTTTATGTAACGTGGACAGTGAAATCGATTAATTTGCGTCAACGCTCAATTGCATTAGAGAGGCCGTTCACAATGCTGTGTTAGCATGTCTACTTTTAACTTTCACGTTTTATTAACCTAATATGGATTAAAAATATGTTATACAATGCATATAATTAATATAATGCTGTCGTAATAACACTCTGAAAGTACATAATCATGAATTGTGTTTGAATGAAACGCACCGCTGATAACATCTCTAGAATAATGAATACGACATAACTCTTCAGTTATTTAATATGCTGATTACAATTCCGATCTACGGCTAATGCGTTTTATTTTACTTTAAAATTCATAAGCAACTTTACGTGTGTTCTATAAAGATTCTCACTTTACTATTCCTAATTTTCGAGGTCATACCGTGCCCTTATTAAAATATTGAAAGACTGGAAATGTGGTTATGACAATGAATGAATATGAATCACAATAAGATTAAAAAAATGATAAATCACTTAAAATATTTCGACGATTTAGATATACCCTTTTTTACATTACTGTGTTTTATTTTTAGTTTAATAGTAGGTACAGTAGATTCTTAAATAAATGTATACATATGTCTTTTATCCATAATTACAGGCAAGGACGGCTCAAAGGTGACGACTGTGGTAGCGACGCCGGGGCAGGGCCCTGACCGGCCTCAGGAAGTGAGCTATGCTGACATGAAATTGATCGGCAACGGCAGCTTCGGCGTCGTCTATCAAGCCAAACTATGTGACACCGGCGAGCTCATTGCCATCAAGAAGGTGCTCCAGGACAAGAGGTTTAAGGTAAAATAAATCGCACTAAAATTGTATAAATTCCCCAAATAATTTATTTCCTTTTAGCATACCTATACATCTTATGTAATTATTTCGAGGATCAAATACATAATCTAACTAATATCATGTATCATATAACGAATTTGTATCCTGTTTTTGTCATGCATCCCCCCCCCCCGCATCGTCCGATTAATTTTAAACTTTGTAAAAATGATTCATTTTTTATATCCTCATTAAAAAGTTTAACGATATAATAAATATAGAAAAATAAAACTTAAATACTAAAGATAAAAATGGACAAGAAATACCCAACTTCATAAAATTGGAAAGCGCACAACCGCACATGTGCCAAAATGCGTCTTTTTTTGCCTACCTCTACTAGTAACTTCAAGGTTATAATAGATTCAGCGAACACGTAGGCGAACTCACAGGGCTCAGCCTGACGATTTGCTAATACTAACCCTAGCAAGGGCAGTACCTTTCTGAATGTACCACCGCTTCGGAATCGCGACCCACTGAGAAGATCTAGCGAGAAACTCAGTGGGCTGTATCTATGTGGGACGAATATAATTTTATCTCATACACTTAGCAATAGACAATGATATATTTTATGTTGAAATGTATGTGTTTGTTAGATACAATCTTGGAGAAAATACATATTAAAATTACTACACTAAAAATAAACCAAATTATTTAACAAATTTAAACATTTTTTTCAATATATTACAGAACCGAGAACTTCAAATCATGCGACGGCTGGAGCATTGCAACATTGTGAAACTGAAGTATTTCTTTTATTCCAGTGGCGAAAAGGTGAGATATGTTTATCGAAGAATTATTATTATTGTAAGGAGATTCGCGCTTATTTAAGCCTATTCCTTTGAGCAACAACATCTTATTTACTGTGTATCTTACTAGAGTATAATTTCTAGACAGCTTGCTTGTCAATATAACATTTAGAAGCGAGATCTGTTTATAAGCCCTTTTATTGTGTATAAGTATTGTGAGAAACTAGGATTAAATGAACGTTAAATTTCGTTCTGAAACGTTTCGTAACTAAGGATTATGTTTTGTGTTTTATTTTGGGGAAGGCGGCAGTGCCCGCAGCAGTCAGTTCTCTGTTAAACGCAATGCAGACCCTTGATGTCACAGTATGTTTATGAATAAATAAAATTGTTACGCTAGTGTGCTATCGCACAATTTAGGCCTGCCAAATCGATTCATGGTTACCGACCAATATTTTCAAAATTAATAGGTTACAACAGTTTTAATTGTGCCACATTAAATAGTGAAAATGTGACGTATCACGCGCTTCCTGTCTTATCGACGTGAATGATATAAAATAATCACGACTAACAACTGCTCTAACAATTTTCTATTCCATTTCAGTCTTCATTCATCGAAACTAATTTGTTCACTAACAAGCCGTTTCTCCTTAAAATATTGACCGGTAACCTCCAAACGCCAATAAAACATTGTGCATAATAAATTGAGACCAATCTTAATCTATCACGAATCGTCAGTTTCCAGTTAAGTGCTTTTACATCACAATCCATTGAACACGTCGGGACATTTATCATGTTTTTTGATCATTATTCTTGTCTGAATTTAACCGCTGTTTGCTTGTATTCTTTTTGACATGGGCTTTTAAAGCGACACGGCCATTTATGTAATAATTATTGGCACATTAAAATCATTCATTGAAAGAAAAGTCAAAACATCTCTAGTTCAATAAGGCCATCAATGTAAATGGTATAAAATTACTTGTAATAACTATTTGTAGAATAACCAGAGAAGACCCAGTATTTATTAAAGCCAAACGAAATCATTAGTTTTTTCACTTTCTAATATGAAATTTTTAATCTAAAGTTAAATTATTCTAACATTAAGTTTTACCAAAAAGAAATCATGCTATATCGTTTCTCATAAACAAAATCACTTATTGCTAAAAACAAATTTGTGGTCAACCACAAAGTCAATCTGAGTAAAATCAATCTAAAAGATATTATTTCGAATAAAAAGTTATCGTAATAGGTAAAGTGCTATCTATCATCTTGCAACATTGACATAGGTACAACTGATAATGATTTCAGAAAGACGAAGTGTACCTGAATTTGGTGCTGGAGTATATACCCGAGACCGTGTACAAAGTGGCGCGTCATTACTCCAAAGACGAACAAACCATACCCATTAGTTTTATAAAGGTAAGTATGCATGGTAAATTCTTCAATTAGGTGTGAAGGACCAAATACAGTGTCTCGATTTGAAAAAGTATTCGTGTTAATGTAACACCTTGTAAGTCCATATACATATAGATCTTCAATGAATAATATTATATTGGTCAATATGTTACATTAAACTTATTTTTTAGAAAATACTTACTATAGTTAGCCACGTCATTACGGATCCTCCCGATACATTAACGGTGCTTTTAGGTACCTTAAGCAGCGGTCAAGAACCCGTCGCTTGCGACGAATGGCTCGGCGAGTAAATTAACCCATAGATAGACACAGCTCACTAAGTTTCTCGCCGGATCTTCTCAGTGGGACGCGTTTTCGATCCGGCAGTAGATTCTGCAAAGCACTGCTCTTGCTAGGATCAGTGTTAATAACACTCTCGGTTTGAGCCCCGTGAGTTCACCTACACGTTAGGGCGAAGATGAAATAGCCTCTCAAGGCTATCAGCATAGGTAGGAAGAAAAAACACTATAATTTGATACTTATTGGGGTGGGCTACTACTCGTCACGTTGATCGCAGAAGTCGTTTCCGAGAATCGTTTCACTATTCCACGTTATTAATGTTTTTTCCCTCTTTTTATTGCATTGATCGGTAAAAGAACTTACGGCCCATCTGGTATTAAGGAGTTACCGTAATCCATCATACCGTGAATGTCGTGATCCACCTTGAGACATGATTTCGAAGTCTTAATTTTATTGTATAACGACTATCTCACCTTTCAACTTTCAAAGGTTTGGCTGCTTTGCAGTGGAAATAGAGCGGATGGTGGTACCTATCCATGTGGGCTCACTATAGGCACTAGTAATTACGCAAATTTATAAATATTTTTGGGTTGTATTTTTATTATAAATTGCCTGTGGGTTCTGCATAAGTCTTATCCTTTGAAACGTGGCTTCTTTTGTTCATTATGTCACGGAGACTAAAACTTTTATATTTGACATTTATTTGAAGATTTTACTCTGTGTAGACAGTGTAGACAATGTAAGGGAACTACCCCCTAACCCAAGTAAACGATTTAGTGAATACTTAATGTAAAGGGTATACGTACAATGTTTGGGTCTTTAAATTATTTGTCATTGCGTGTTCACTACTTCACGGGAGAGGTTGCATTACATTTTGTAACTAGCGACCCGCCCTCGCTTCGCTTCGGAAACTGTAATTTGTTATTGATTTCTCCACTATTTAATGGATATTATTATACATATAAACCTTCCTCTTCAATCACTCTATCTATTAAAAAAAACCGCATCAAAATCCGTTGCGTAGTTTTAAAGATTTAAGCATACATAGGGACAGACAGATATAGAGACACAGAAAGCGACTTTGTTTTATACTATGTAGTGATAACAAGTAGTTTTTTAATTTTTTAATGATAGTCTATAATAATATATACATTTTAGGTTATTCCTCATTTATATGTTTGTGTAATGTAGTAATATTTTTCGCAGCTGTACATGTACCAGCTGTTCAGAAGTCTGGCGTACATTCATTCTTTGGGCATCTGTCACCGAGATATCAAGCCGCAGAACCTACTCCTTGACCCCAAGACTGGAGTGTTGAAGCTGTGCGACTTTGGCTCGGCGAAGCACCTCGTTCGCGGAGAACCAAACGTTTCCTACATATGTTCGCGTTATTACCGCGCTCCGGAGCTCATCTTTGGCGCCACCGACTACACCACGAAAATTGGTACGTTTCTTATATCTATTATATAACTAATTGGACCTACGAAGTCGTNGAACCTACTCCTTGACCCCAAGACTGGAGTGTTGAAGCTGTGCGACTTTGGCTCGGCGAAGCACCTCGTTCGCGGAGAACCAAACGTTTCCTACATATGTTCGCGTTATTACCGCGCTCCGGAGCTCATCTTTGGCGCCACCGACTACACCACGAAAATTGGTACGTTTCTTATATCTATTATATAACTAATTGGACCTACGAAGTCGTCGTGGCCTAAAAGATAAGACGTCCGGTGCATACGTGTTGAACGATGCACCGGTGTTCGAATGTCAGGCGGCTACCAATTTTTCTAATGAAATAGTGTACTCAACAAATGTTCACGATTGACTTCCACGGTGAAGGAATAACATCGTGTAATAAAAATCAAACCTGCAAAATTATAATTTGCGTAATTACGGGTGGTAGGACCTCTTGTGAGTCCGCACGGGTAGGTACCACCACCCTGCCTATTTTTGCTGTGAAGCAGTAATGCGTTTCAGTTTGAAGGGGGGGCAGCCGTTGTAACTATACTTGAGACCTTAGAACTTGTATCTCAAGGTGGGTGGCGCATTTACGTTGTAGATGTCTATGAGCTCCAGTAACTACATAAAACCAGGTAGGCTGTGAGCTCGTCCACCCATCTAAGAAAAAAATAAAATAAAAAAAGAGATCTCTACCTCGTATCTTAATACGGGTGGGAGCATTCATGTTTGTGATGGCGATGGATTGGTAATCGGATAACACTAATCTGTTCATTTGTCCAAATAAAAAGTTAATATTTCAGTTGGAACAGATCTTATACACGCCGTTTTGGAAATTTTGTTGTTAATGCCTGACTGTAATGCAAAACCTCACAAAGAATATTAATTATATTTATATTCGCATTGCTATATTGCAATGGTTTTAATGTTTATAAATATGTGTTTCCGTTTCCTAGACGTGTGGAGCGCGGGATGCGTTGTCGCTGAGCTGTTGTTGGGTCAACCGATATTCCCAGGAGATTCCGGGGTTGACCAATTGGTTGAAATTATCAAGGTAATACAACTGCATTCCACAGTCATTATATTCAAATTGTTAAGCTTGATTCCTGTATTAGTATATTTTTTATTGTTTTAATTGATAAAATAATTAAATTCTTTTTTAACAGGTTTTAGGGACACCGACAAGAGAACAAATCCGAGAGATGAATCCAAATTATACAGAATTTAAGTTTCCACAAATCAAGAGTCACCCTTGGGCGAAGGTAATAACATACTCAAAATAATTATTAGAATATTATTAAGGTAAATACATCAATAAACTTAACAGTGGGATCACTTTGAGAGTATCAAACTAAAACAAAAATATTTTTAAAATCTGTCCATAGACAACAGAGTAATCGGTTAAGAGATAAATTTAAAAATCTATCAAATATAGACATACCTTTTTTGAATTTTGTTAAATTATCTAAGACCTTTGTGATGAAAAGAGTCAGTTTTTATGAAAACGTAATTTGTTCTTCTTTGAAAATCCATACATAAAACATGAATTTCATCCTGGATACATTTATGATAAACACATACATTGACTAGTCCTTAGTGTCGCCTTCATAAATATCCGTTATATCATGAATTTTGTTATCATAATCATAATTTTTAGGCTGCCGTTATTGTATATTACATACACGATACATTACTATGGATTTAAAGAAAACTTTTCATTGAAACTTCGTGTTTTCATTAGGGAACGTATGCGACGCTATATCTGATAATTGCACGGCATTTTCTATGCGTCCAGGACGTGTCTCGCTGTATTCTGTGGCCTTAAAAAATTACAAGCAGAATATTCTCAGCACGTAGACATTACAACGCGAATGTTACATGAAGGAGACATGACGAATTATTACCTTACTAGAAAACTGTTATTTTATCCTTGAAACACGCTTAAGAAGTAGAGGAGAGTTAATTAGGAAATTAGGCGAAGATTCTACCACTACACATAGATGATGAGGAAACTGTTAGTGTCCAGTTAGGTGGCTAGAGCTATGTATCCGATTTTTTTCTCGAACATACGATCCTTCTACCGCGAACTTGTAATTCTGATGCGGAATTTACATTACGAAATTAGTGTCATGGATGTTGAACTCAGTTTCACGAAAGTAGTTTCGATATAATATATGCGAAAGTAATTTCGTAAAAAAATTTGTGTCGCGAAATCCGCAGTATCGCAGTAATGGTTACCTCGCAATGGCGCCATCAGCATCATAGCTATATTTTGCTATATTAAATGTAGCTAAAGAAATGCTTATATATAAACTTAAAAAAAGACAATCGAGAAAAAAAGACATTGGTAAATTTGAGAACGGTTAACAATAAGGCATTTATTACGAAATGCATGCATGCATTACGAAAATGTTAAGTTACACGTGAAACTGTTGGTAAAACTAATGTCACGAAATTAATTTCATGCCACTAATTTCGTAACGTAAATTCGCCCTGAGTCCAGTTTTACGTCTCTGGACGAATTCTGAGTTACAAGTGTACGGAATATAAGTGCTAGGAATGTCTCTGTCCCCTCGTCTCTCATCTTGCTCGAGTGAGCTTAGACTTTATTGGGGTACATGCAAGCGGTGCTGCTATGGGCAGTCGATTAAACAGACGCGCATCGTTGCAGTGTATGCTGGAGCGTATGTCCATGCCCAAGACTGCCACTGACCACCAGCGCATCCGAGTAAGAATCCGCTATTTGGTTCAACTAGATGCCTTCATTTACATCACGTTAAACTTTAAATAAGCTTGCAAGCTGAAAGTATTGTAAAGCAAGACAATATATGAAGGCATTTAGCGCATCCAAAGACGAATACCAAATCGCCTTTGACTTGAAAGTCGCATACAACTAATTCGGTTGATTCTGACAATTTCTCAAAATGATTGTTTGTTGGTGTTCAGTGTGCATTCGTCATTGTGTCGCACACGTGTTTAGTTTGTTCAAGTATAAAAATTTTGGAATGTGGGACGACGCATTACAAACCTCTACGGTAATGTTATTTTCATGTTTTATCAAAAGAGCAAACTTGACACGTGGCTCAGCACAAAATAACAAAAATAAATAACTTCATCATCCACGCATTATAATCGCATTAACTAATTAATTTTGAAAGATACAGTTTGTTAAATTATATCGTCACTAATCGAACCCATCGAGCTCACCACAGTCGAAGTGTTAATTGTACTCACATCTCAACGATACATAAAAAACATCCAGATATACCCTTGAATCGATGAATTAATATACCAGTTAGATTAGCAAGAAGCTTCGATTTGATTCTTCTCTCTCGGTTCTCAATAAGAGAAAAGGAAGAAGATGTTCAGACAAAACATACCTTCAGAAATCTATTGAGTCCATATTAACATCTATTTGTGACGGTGTGAGTCGAGGTGACCACACCGCTAACAAATCGACTCTCCTAATTAAATAGCCTGTATACATTTTGGTACCTATCTTCAGAAATCTATTTGTGACGGTGTGAGTCAAGTGACCACACCGCTAACAAATCGACTCTCCCGATTAAATACCCTGTATACTTTTTGGTACAAATATATCATAAAATACGAAAGATGCCCGTGAACCGCCAGGTGTTCCGCGCGTGCACGCCCCCGGACGCCATCTCGCTGGTGTCGCGGCTGCTGGAGTACACGCCGGGCGCGCGCCTGTCGCCGCTGCAGGCCTGCGTGCACAGCTTCTTCGACGAGCTGCGCGAGCCCACCGCCCGCCTGCCCAACGGCCGCCCGCTGCCGCCGCTCTTCAACTTCACCGAGTACGAGCTCGGCATCCAGCCCTCGCTCAACGAGTTCCTGAAGCCGCGCAGCGCCGCGCAGTCCGAGCCGGCCGCCGCCTCCTCTGCGCCCGACCACGACGCGCCAGGTACGTAGACCCTTGCAATACCCCTTTTATTACTGGTGGTAGGACCTCTTGTGAGTCCGCATGGGTAGATACCACCACCCAGCCTATTTCTGCCGTAACGTAACTTATATCTCAAGGTGGGTGGCGCATTTGCGTTGCAAATGTCTATGGGCTCCAGTAACTACTTAACACCAGGTGGGCTGTAAGCTCGTCCACCCATCTAAGCAATAAAAAAAGGGGTCGGACGGTCCGAGCACCAGCTCACCTTGTATTTGTCGACAGGCGAGGCGGCATCGGGCGGCGCGACGGCCGACGCTTCCTAGACCCGCGCTCCCCGAGACGACCTAGCGTACTTGATAGAGCTTGAGCCGCCCCGGTCGGCGGGAAACGAAAATCCGCCGTAGATTCTGACCCGCGATGTGATCACTTTGTACTTTTGTAAGCTCCGATCGTCTCCTCGTGTACATACCTCGAACGCCGAGTCTGAGGCCGTCCGTCCGACGATGGACGGATTGCTCGATTCCGTTTTTATTAGTGACGTCGTCCGTGTTGTCCGTTCGCCCTATGAGATAATTTCGCTTTTATCCGTAGCGGTCGCAGTTAGCGACCACGCTTGGGCCGTGTTGTTGTAGGGAAGACATTATTCAGTAGTGCATTAGTGTATTTATTGTTGGGAGTCGTATCGCTAACTCGACATATACATAGAGCTGAATTCGACTAAGCAAATTAAATGTTTTGTTGCAAACATAGAAAGCATACTTTGTAAATTTTTATAACTAGCATAAACTGATCTCTCAATATAATTTTATTGATTTCTCAGAATATAATGTATTTGTGTAAAATATTTCAAGGAATATAAATTTTAGATGTATTTCACAAATAATAGATGTTTCATTTCCCGGCAGTTTCTGTGTTAGATATGTTTTGCTGTGTATTCGTTTATCCAGAGGATAGTTGTAATGTACCTACATAATGTGCCGTGTAACCTAATGTCACGACATAGTTTTTCAATAATATTGTATTCTATATTCAATAAATGATATTTCTATAATATATAATAAATTTGTCATTGCGAACGCTATTGTTATTAGTAGTCATTTATTAAGAGGACGGTTATAGTAATGCTAAATTTCATTGTCATAGTGTTTAAGTATTTGAATAATTTCGGTTTGCACTTCATTTTTGCTTACTATTACATTTTAGGTCCTGGTAAAAATTTCTTAGCGTAGACTAACAAAAACTTACTCACCCTGTAGAAGTAGCCTATTCGTGAAATGTCGATTGCTTGTTGCACATTTTGTGGAACCAAAGTAGTTGAAATATTTACACATCTCAGAGCTTTAAACATAAAAAAAAACAACAATCAGCAGCTCGCATAATTTAACAATAAACGTTTGAAGTTATAAAAGTTTAATACTATGTGACGTCATCAACTAACGAAGTAGTGTGGGCAAAAAACAATTGTCTTGTGTAATGAAAATTGTACATTACATTCGCGATATGTATGAGCGATCAATTGACAAATTTTATTTTTGGTATCTGACGGAAATCGCCAGTGTCCGACCGTAGTGCGACATACACATGCGTGTATTCATGCATACTATGAATGTACCTTCGTACTGCTAATTATAAATTATTGTATGTTAGGAGAGCGCTCGGCGCATCGATTTCAAATCACACATAGTGAAGCTTAGTTTCTCATCGTTTAGGCTTATCGGTTTTCAGAAACACGTTTACGATTTGTGTAAATATAATATTATATTATAATTATGTTAACGGAGCACCATCGGAGTGACGCGCCGCGCCACGGCGACGTCTCGGCGCCACTGAGGCTCGGCGCGTCACCGGTGCCCCGCAGCGGACTCAGTAAGAGACACGGTAGTTTAGATATGCATATTTTATTAAGTCTTATCTTGTATGAATTTTGTAATCGACGTTGCTTCTAAAGATCATTTTGTGTAAAAAAAATTATAAAACATACTAGTGACCTGAATGTTCGAAGCGATATTTGAACGTCTTTTATCCCACTGAATTCTCACTTTCACGATTTGCGTGCACATTTAATTACATGAGAATTTCGTATATACATAGTTGGAAAATGGAGTTATGATGACTTATAATAAATTATTTAAAGTAAAGTTTTCTTATTACTATTACTGTAATATTAAATTTAATAGTGAGTGAAATTTGTATTTTGTTTTAATATTTGTTTTACTGAATTTGAATACGTCGTAACACCCATATCGTTGTTAGTTATGAATGAAAATAACATAATTATAAAGTAAATATTAAATGAATAGTAACCATGGCTTTTTATTTCGAAAGTTCCCCTAACAATTTATCAGCTTTAAATAACAAGCTACCTCTCAGCTAACCTTAGCTATCCTCAAATCCGAAAATGGAACAAAAAANATATTTGTTTTACTGAATTTGAATACGTCGTAACACCCATATCGTTGTTAGTTATGAATGAAAATAACATAATTATAAAGTAAATATTAAATGAATAGTAACCATGGCTTTTTATTTCGAAAGTTCCCCTAACAATTTATCAGCTTTAAATAACAAGCTACCTCTCAGCTAACCTTAGCTATCCTCAAATCCGAAAATGGAACAAAAAACTATTATCGAATCCACAAGCAAGTATAGCATAAAATCGCAAAGGTAAAGTGTTTCGTTCTAATACTAGTGCTGTTCATAGAATTAAATACAGAAATATGATGATAGTTGCTGTAAGCTAAGTAAGGCTACTAAAAAAAGTTCATAAATAGATTCATAAACTTTGTAAAGCAGTCTATTTATGCCCACAAATGTTAACATTTGATAATAGTTCCTAATCTACATAGCAAATTAGTGAAGAATATAGCTTATTCATTGCTCTAAAATTTTCGAAACATTTCCACGCTGTATTTTTGGAGTTATTGTATATCACAACGTCGGTGATGTCGGTATCCCACCTCTAGGTTGACGTCTGAATACAATGTAAAACGGCTGTGCCACACTGTAAATCCATGCTGCCGTCGCGTTTTGCGGTACAAGACGGGGCTGCTATTACCCCTGAGTTTCAAAGTAGTCTAAATTAATTTACTATTTTTTTATCGTCTTGTTCGCGTGGACATGCTTAAGGAAAGTACCATATGATATAAAATTTATATATAGTAGTACCTACCCTGGACCAAGTACCGTACACCCCTACACTGAGATTTTTATTATGGCATCATTCATGTATCTTCATGTCCAATTCATCCTATTAAACAAACCGATTTTGTCTGGAATTATTTTGTATTGGTGGGAAGAGCTGGATTGGAGCTGTCTGAATTGAATTACATTGTCAATTCGGTGTTTTTCAGGAATAAATGTATAAATGATAATGGCTTAAAAAAATAAAGAAATTGACCGATTAAATTGCTTATTTATAATGGTTTGCTACGGCCTCGGGCCTGTTACCAAAATACCTCTAAGAATACTATGCGAAAAGTTGCCATTTTGTAGAAATATATATATAGAATTGAAACGGAGGTTGTGGCGATTTTATCATGTTCGGCGTCCCAAGGACATTTCAATTTTTTTCCAATTTATTATAACAGTTGAGGTTCGCTAGTTTCGTATATGAATTTGAGCGCACAGTTCTTGTAAGCACGGCTTCTAGCTGCGACTGGTATAAAAACGGAAAAACATTAATAAAACGCGACGTGACGCAACGTGTTGATACGACACCCGATATGCACCGTGCACATTACCAACACGCGACGCCACGACATACTAACAATTTCTGCAATTAGTTAGCTAACAGCAGTGGAAGTGTATGGATAAGTACTATGGATTTAATAAATAACGATTTAGATAAAGATTTTGAAGAAGATCCGATGCAAATTTTGGGTACATATTATAATATGATATTTAAACGACTCGAATAACTAGGCGTTACTGGGTATATGAAATAAATGTACTCCTCATTGTATGATTTTGGAACGAAGTTCCTTACGGCAGGCTTGGAGGGGATAGGGATTTTGCTGCGCGACCGAACTGAAAAAAATATGATAATAAAACCGTAAGAAAAAATCCGTGGAAAAAAGTGCGTGGAATAAAACCGTTAAATGAGACGTGCGCAGGCGCGACAGTCGCACACACAAGCGAGTAGTGTATAATACCTTTCTCTTTCTCCTTCTTTCTTTTCGTTCTCTCATCCTTTCTCTCTCTATTTTGTAATTATTTATATTTCTATGTAATTTTATGTTGTCAAACAAAAATAAAGAGACATATTTTGTTATTTTAGTTGATAATTTAAATTACGATGTTCTTTTATTTTAAGTAATTTATTATTTCCTAAAATACTGAATTTCCTATATACTTTCTTGTACTTAAATAAAAACAAATCAGCAAAATTTAAGAGAAAAATCAAGAAAACCTACATAAAATTGAGCACGATTTTTTTTGCAATTTGTGTCAATTCTACATTAGCCGAAGGAACTTCGTTCCTACCTGGTGTCCCACGACACCACATAATTTTAATACTTTTTTTATTTATTGCTTTTGGTAAAAAAATCGTTACTAAAGACATTATTTCCTCCGGATTTTGAGGATCGTAGACATAATTGAAACTATTTTTACGGCTTAATTTCTCGTTATTAATTTAATTTCTATCCAGGCTACTTCCCTTTGCCTGCTTAGATGAAAAATAGCCATTATGTCAGATTTACTAGAATGTCACACACATTTATTTGTCATAATTGTAAACCTACCAAAACTTTTATATTCATTGCTTGTCATCATTCATAAAAATATTATTTTTTGTTTCTACTTGGTATTTACAAAAGCTTAATGTAATAAACCATAATATACCCTCCGCTTGTAGATGCACCAAATTCACTTTTGGCAATTTTATTATGGGTATTCGAAAAAAAAAGGATCTTGATAAACACAAAGTCATAGTTTCCTACGAAATGGGAGGATTCAGATTCGTGTAAGGTTTTCATCTAAACGAAATTGTTTTGTTGTTTTAATTACAAAATTGTGTAAAATGCACGAAGCGTATGAAGTTTCACATCTGCTTAATGCCACCGTGCAGATCGAAGCAATAGCTGCATTCGGTAAGATATATATACATTTTAAACAGTTTAACATATTATTTAATAAAACTTGAACGGCTTCATCTCAGATTTATTATTTTCAAATAATATGGTTTGCACTTATCTAGCACTTAGATGGAGATGAAACCTTGAAAAAAATGTCAGACTTCAAAGTACCTTGTTTTCTGTAAGCAAATAAATAAACATGTTACTTAATATTATTTTAAAAAATATTGCAGTTTTACTTATATATTCATAAATTAAATTCTGTCTTCTTTAATTCACAATTCTTCTTTAATTATATTCATATAACCAATGTAAAACAAACTGACTCCTTTGTATATAAAATTAGTAAATGTAACATTCTAATTTCAACAACTAAGAATTAGTCCTATTACCTTAAAAACTAAAATTTTCAAAACTTCGATAAATATAAAATGGATATAATAATCATGAAACTGAACCGTAAAACTATTTTAAAATCAATTCTGCAACAGGTGATGTAACAGAGTGTGTAGTAATATTGTGACCCTTCACTTTTAAAGAGGTAACACAAAAAGGAATACACTCAAGTTTATTATTTGTAGGAAATTATATACCTGGGTAGGATTGATATTTTGAATATATTTATTGGCATCTTTTAAAATACCACAATTTACCAACCTTAAAGTAATAAAGTAATTGTAAAAAGTTAAAGTATTAATAAAGTTGTAAAGTTTTAATTTCATTAAAGCCATAATCTCCTTAGAAACATGTGATTTTTGTTGTATTTTATTATGGATAAGATGTATAAAATCACATCATGTTAGAAGTAACCGTTACTATCCACAAAATCAGCTAACATTCATATTGTCATTTTACAGAGAATAACCTATTATTAGGTACGAGGCAAGGCCATTTATTGATGTACTCTTTATCAACAAATAATGAAGAGCAAAAGTATCAGGTACATTTGTTAAGATACAGGAAGAATTTTAGCAAAAAACCTATTCAGCAAATTGAAGTTATACCGGGTATTTATATTATTGTTTTAGTCAAATTATGTTTAAGTAATTTTATTAGATGATGTTATAAGTAAATTTCGTATTAGAGAACAGGTTGTGCTTTACATACTCATGTAAAAGGATCCTGCGATAGTTTATACACTCTGGCTATATGAGTGTATAATCCTGGTCTTTTCTGGCAACTATAATTGCAATTCCTTAACTCAATTGCAATAGCAGTACCCAATAATCAATAATCTTTCTCCTTCCCAAATACTTTCTGTCTTCTATCTTAACTTTAAATTTACAGGTTAGGTATTGGGTAATCAAATTGTATTCACTCATCATTTTAATGCGTATTTTTTGTCTGTAAGTGATGGTGATCATTCACTCGTGAAAACAAAAAAATAAATAAATTTATATAATTATGTGTCATAATGGTTCTGTGAACAAAGATTCTATTGATTTGATTCATACTATAATCTTTTCTATAAGAACATTTTAGTATCTGATTATTGTGGTATAGTTGCTTTCTCCTATACTGCAATAATTTTTTTGGAGCTGTTACTTATACAGTAATATTTTTGCATTTCAGATGAAAATCTATTATTATGTCTGACAGATTCTACACTAGCTACATACAACATTAATGGTGTTAATTTTCCATTGATAAAAACTTTTGAACAGACAAAGGGTGCTTCACTTTTTGCTTTGGATTGTAAGGTTAGATTCATTGAAATATCTAGCTTTCGGATTAATTCATTACTGTTACTGACATCCAGAGATTTGGTGTCACCCATGCTGCCATATCAGATTGAAGACTGGATTTTTACCAGTGTAGCAGAAGAGATTATGAACCAACTGCCAAGTGTTAAGTGGCTACTGTTATGTACAGCATGAATACTGTTGTCCACCTGTAGAAACAATCTGAAATTCTGAATTTTTTTCAAATCATAATATTATATCCTTTTAAGTGGACATAGCAATGACCATGGCATTCCCTCAAATTTGAGGGAATCGTGGGAATAATTAAGTAATGCAATAACATAGGGATAATAGTTCTGTAGAGGGATGAGATGGAACTCATGGCAACTAACTATACTGAGATCTTAGAACTTATATCTCAAGGTGGGTGGCGCATTTACGTCGTAGATGTCCATGGGCTCCAGTAACCACTTAACATCAGGTGGGCTGTGAGTTCGCCCACCCATCTAAGCAATAAAAAATAAAATAAAAAATGAACGGTTATTCTATACTATATCTAATCTTCATGTTACATAATCCATATTTCATTTATAGCTTCTTTACGTTCAAGACAAAACAGTAAATATTTGTTGAGCAGTTTCTCTTCTTGTAACTTCCCAATAACCCTTTTCTATTATATTACAAAAATCTATTCATGGTTTGGTAAAAGTACTTAAATTTCTTTTTTTTAAAACTTTAAAAGGTTAAGTTAATAAAAATTTATAATAACATCATGGAACTGACATATTTTATATTTAAAATAATCCATATCACTACCGCTGCACATTCACTAGCATTAAAATTGTAAGATTATAAAATATGACATTCTAGTATCAATCCATTGTTACTGCTTGGTAGAACACCCATTAGAATTCATAATGTTACTATTCAATTTTCAGGTTTCATCAAGTAATGGTGCAGCGTCATCTGATGTTCGCCTTTGCGTTGCAGTAAGGAGGAAACTTCAAGTGTACTGCGGGAGTAAGGGTGAATTTAAACATATGCTAGACCTAAATATACCAGATGTACCTAAAGTAATGGCCTGGGGTCTGCAGTATCTATGTGTGGGATTTAAAGCGGAGTACACCCTATATGATGTAAGCAAACGAAATCCAATGTACAGTGAAAAGCACAAACCAATGAATGATTTGTTAAATATAGCTTTTTTTTATTGCTTAGATGTGTAGACGAGTTCACAGCCCACCTGGTGTTAAGTGGTTACTGGAGCCCATAGACATCTACGACGTATATGCGCCACACACCTTGAGATATAAGTTCTAAGGTATAGTTACAACGGCCATAGTGCCATGTTTGTGTTTGTGTCTATTCTAAATCTAAATGAGGACGATGCTGGTATTACTTAATATCCAGTTGGCTTTTCGGCTGTATTTTTTTTGGCCCAAGTACACCTTAGTGCCAATAGTACTTTATCAGAAGTTGATCTTGAATATGAAGTAAAAATATAAAGAGAAGAATCTTAGCTTTGAAGCTAAGATTTATTCTCAATGTTATGCTTGTTGTTTATATAATGATTCAATGATCTAAAAAGGTTTTTTACATTAATTATTGAGTGATTGGTAAGACAGAGGTGTCGTCCTCAAGTAATTAGATAAAAAATATGACAACTCAGAATAATCGTATTGTCTAATAATCACTGGCCATATCTATAAAAGTCGATATGTTGTATCTAAAAATAGTTTGTTCCCTATAGGCTCTGAAACAGCTGGACCGATTTCGACGACATTTTTAGGAAATCTTAGCGATCGGATCAAAGTAAAATCAAAGATTTAGAAATATATGTATAAAACCAAAAATGAAAAAAATTATAAATTAACGGTTAAATAATAATGTCATTAAATAATATAAAATTAGAGAATGTAGGCATTATGTTACGAGGTAATCTGTGAAAATGGCCATTGAATTTCACACCTCAGTTCAAGCGAGCTCGCGCCTCGACGTGATGATGGCTGCTTTTTGATATGAAATAAGCAAAAAGATATAGTCGATTTGCATAGTTACATTCCGCATACCATTTTATTACGTTTTTCAGGTGTCAGATGGAAAACCAAAAGAACTATTTCCCACAAGTAGTTCTAAATCATTAGAGCCAACTATTTCTAAGTACACAGAGACATCTTTCCTAGTAGGACGTGACCAAACTTCGGTTCTTATAGAGGAGTCTAATAAAAATGTCGATATAAAGAAAACTATTAAATGGAAGGAGGCGCCTCTTGCTGTGGGTAAGTTTGTCGGTTTATTGTTCTATTAGATATCTGTATCTCATCAACTAAGCATACGCCTGTCTCAAAGCTCTAAACATAACCTTTCCTCCGACTTTAGCATTAAATCTCTGACTAATAGTTGGCGCTGCCCACCGATGTACTTATTGAAAATATCGCCCTGTTCTGCCGAGACTTTATGAGTCCTTACTTCAATACAACTGAGATTTGCACCTAACTTAGGTATTTTGTGTTTGTGGGACCCATCCAATTGGAATCTACGTTATTGCTGTGACTTATGAACATAGTCATTCCCGATCCTGCAGACTGAATGGTAAACAGTCGACGTCGCCCAAAATGCGTCATTTCGGATCCCCCGATCCGCTAATGGTGCTCAAGCACCGGTTACCGTCCTCGCCGAACCCGTCGATATGGCTCGGCGAGTAAATTAACCCAGACACAGCCCACTGAGTTTCTCGCCGGATCTTCTTAGTGGGTCGCGTTTCCGATTCGGCGGTAGATTCTACGAAGCACTGCTCTTGCTAGAGTTAGTATAAACAACGTCGTCACGTTTGAGCCCCGTGAGCTCACCTACTAATTCGGTGAATTTAGAATCGAGGTTACCAGAATAGGAAGGGAAAAAAATGAACATCAGATAGGTACTGGATTTATCTGTCCATGTACGCTAATAAGAATCTGTTCGGCGTCTAAAAAGGTCACAAGTTAAAAGTGCCTTTCATATATTTTATGTATCATTGATTATTATTTATTCTATTGCTCTGTACATGAGCTCACGATCTAGTCCGTATTAACTGGTTATATTGCCAAACATTACAGCGTGAATTCCGCAAGTCTTAGACATATGTATATAGGTCTAAGTGTATCTCATAACGCCCAACCGTTGTCCCACCCTACCAACTGGAAAGTACTATTGCGACATATTAGAGACAAGTTAGACGGTACCCTAATGTGGGCTTATAAAACATCAATACCGATAATGGCTGTTGACCGCAGTACGCTGCTGCGGTATTCAGAGAACACTGCTATCCATTCTCTGGTGAATTTGATTGCTTTTTACGACTTAATAAAATACAATCACTTTTAGTGTGGGATCAGCCGTTTGTACTGGGTCTATTGCAAGATCAAGTTGTTGTGCAGACTGTGGAGCCAGCGTTTTATATACAATCATTGTCCGAATTGAATAAAGCAAGACTGATGTACAGGTAAAATGTAAATATATCTATATCTTTATATATATATAATTCTACTATACGTGTTTGTCATTGAACTCGTATACGGCTGGACCGATTTGATGATTTTTTTTGAATGCGTTTGGGTGGCGCCCTGGATGGTTTAGATTCACTAATCTGCACGACAGATGGCGCTGCGATTGGTATCTACGTTATTTATCTATACTGCAACTAAACGGTTGGATCGACTTGAATGATTTTTTGTGTATGCATTCATTCATTCCATTCATTTATTAGTGTATGCAGGACAATGTCTGTCGGGTTCGCTAGTATATGTATAAATAAAATATGCCATGAACCACATCAGTGAACTAACATCATTTCTGTGTTCGTTAGTTGGCTGAATACATTCCGTATTTTTCAGATGCAAACGAGGCTTAATATTCGTGGCTTCCGTCGGACAGGTGTGGTGTCTCAGCTTAGTCGACATAACGAAACAAAGGCAACAGTTACTGAAAGACAAACAGTTCCAAATAGCTATAGAGTTAACTGTAAGTACGAACCTTTAGCGTTTAACGTTTCATTATTCATAGAAAGTGTTAGGACGTGCATAGTTCGAAACAGCTTAGCCAGTAAAAAGTATTTCACTACATAGTATAAAACAAAGTCGCTTTCTCTGTCCCTATATCTGTCCCTATGTATGCTTAAATCTTTAAAACTACGCAACGGATTTTGATGCGGTTTTTTTTAATAGATAGAGTGATTGAAGACGAATGTTTATATATATAATAATATCCATTAAATAATGGAGAAATAAATGATAAATTATAGTTTCCGAAGCGAAGCGAGGGCGGGTCGCTAGTATTTTATAATTCTAAATTAACATCATACCTTGATAGCGTAACTAAGGACTCGCGACTTATTAGTTTGCACAGACAATCATAGAGAAGCTGCTCACAGAACTTTACCTTATTAACAGAAAGTTTTATATTTTTAAGTGACTTAAAAAAAAGTGGAGATCTCCAATCCAATTGGTTTTTTTTTATTTGTTACTTCAGAACTTTTTCAAAGTGAACCTATTTTGAAGAATCTTATTTTTGGTCGACATGTGGTCCCATTTAAATGTTATAGAGATCTCTTACCAGTAGTGTCTTACTTATTCTTAATAATGCATATTTAATTGACTTCGCCTATAAATTACGATATTCTCATTTTATTGTATTGATATTTTATGTTATTTTGTCACTAGTAATATATTTAGTATTCGTAAATAGTTTTTAACATGTATGTTGATAAACAAAAATGAATTTGCCGGCGAAACATCAACAATAAGTTGTGTAATAGAAGAGTGAACACACGACACACAACCTTTTAATTTCTAATAATGTTAATTTTTGTAGCTTATATAAAACTATTATCTATAAGCTATAAGCTTATATATAACTACTATTTCTTCGAGATTAATATGATTCAAAAATATTTTATGTTATTACAAATGTTAAAATGAGATGTCTTCGTATTATTTATCCTTGTTCGTTTGGCGGAAAAACAACATTATCCTCTAAATAAATCATTTGTTTAAATAACTTTAATTTTAAATCAATCCGTGAGTCGAATCGAACCTGACGTGTTTGTGAGGAAGCCTAAATTACATTTTAGTTCCATGAAAGCTACACCATTCGTGTGATATAGTTGTGAACAGTATTCGTGACGCTCGGGTCGTGTCGTATTTTTTTTTAATTATGTTTATTGTGCTATTATCTATTAAGATCACCAAACTATTTGCGGAACTGGCTCTGAAATAGGCAACTGGTTAAGCAATTCTTCGTTATCTTAAGTTTTAACTGCTTAGAGTCCGCTAGAGAATTTTAACCCCGTAATACAAATATTACGTGCCGGAAATATTGATTCATTAGCTCTTGATCGCAACAACCGGATAATAGGAAATATCTTACTCTGCTGACGTATTTCTATTTTAGCATGCTTTTGTACTGTAATTTAGGATAATAAGGTGTTTTGAACTTGCCGTTATTGATAATTACATCGGTAGTATATTCGCTTTTTCTTCCTTGGTGTCACTTCTATCTTGTTCCCCAATGTCAATGTATATTGGTGATGTCTTAAAAATAAAATGTCATCCGCGCAAAGAATAATTTATTTAATGTAACTCGTTTTAATGTGTTTTCGAAGTTACTGGCGTTTCTTTCACAGTTGACTGTCTCATCAGGATTCAATTCAATTTAATTCGCGTAGACGTAATTTCACAAATCTATCTCACTTATTGCCTTATTATTTTTAATTTATGGGAATGTAAATAATAAAAAAAGATTAAATATAAACTATGGTTCAATAGGTTAATTTTGACATTAGCCCCGCTTATTTGTAAAGTGATGACTGTACAAAAGTTATTCGTTGCCTCTTATTCCTAGCGAATATTGGGGAAGGCTTAATCCATATATACATAATTATGATGAACTCAGGCGACATTATCTTATGAAAAATCCTTTATGAACAATAAAATCTGGCAAAGTATATGTAACACCGGTATTAAACAAATACATATGTATATCGACATTATTAAAATTGTTCGACGCTAAAATTTATTCTACCTAAAGATTAAAAGTCAGCTTAACATTTAGTTCGGCGTTGACAATAGTTGCTGTTAACGGTAGGCAGCGGCTTGGCTCTGCCCCTGGCATTGCTGAAGTCCATGGGCGATGGTAACCACTCACCATCAGGTGCGCCGCATGCTCGTCTGCCTACAAAGGCAATAAAAAAAAACAGTGTACTCAATTATACGCGTTACCCAAGTCCTAGTTTTTCGTTTAAAACAAATCACGTCATTAGTTACCGATCGGTCCAACTATCCAACTTTCAATAACGTTATAAGGAAAATGTGAATGTTTATAACGTACAATCTAGAACTGTTTAAAACTGATAAGCTACGACGCTTTTAACTTTTACGTGATCAGAAAAATAGTTTACATGGCAGTGCGTGACTTATATAGATACAAATTTATAAAATAAATCGAATAGTACTTAGTTTTTTAAGTGTCCATCCGTTAATTTCGAAATGTTAAAAAGCAAAGTCAAATATAATAAGAGACAAAAGAAAATTATTTCCATTTTGAATGTGAGTATAATCGTGGCTTCCTTATGAACTTGTTCAGGTTTCACGACGATGCCTTTCACAGTAAAAAACCGTAGAGGAACCATTGCTTTACTGTTAAGCGTGAGTATTTGTGAGCATCAATGTCAAATGCAACATTCGTGTTACAAAAACATGTAGAACGAATTACACTAGGCCTTTAAGGAATCAACAATCTGTGAGATTTTTTAATATTCACTCTGACTCAAATACTTAGGTATTCTAAGTTGACATTGTCTTTTGTTACATTCGGACACGGATTCAATTCGTATCCTCCCGATCCACTAACGGTACTTTTAGGTACCTCAAGCACCGGTTATCGTTCTCGTCGAACCCGTCGCTTGCGACGAAGGGCTCGGCGAGTAAATTAACCCACAGACACAGCCCACTGAGTTTCTCGCCGGATCTTCTCAGTGGGTCGCATTTCCGATCCGGCGGGGGATTCTGCGAAGCACTGCTCTTGCTAGGGTTGGTGTTAGCAACGACGTCAGCTGACCTTGTTAGGGTCAGCTGACTATCAGCTTAGGTAGGGGAAAAAAGTTACATTCGGTCGTGTTAGAAATTGCTGTGGATGTAAACAGCTTGACGCTAGAAATATTATGTAGGTTACCCCGTTTATCATCAAGGTTTTTAAAGAAGAACACTGAAACTTCAACCTTATGCTTCAAGTTTGTAGTGACATTCTTGTTTGCCCATGTCTGCGAGATTCGGTAACTGCATCAGGCGGTAGTTGAGCCGACGGCTCTGTAATTTATAAGAAAAAAATTTGTTAGTAATGAAAGAAAGAAAAATAGACCCACAATCGTGACTGTATTTTACAGACGCTGTCACAATGCTCGCCCGAGGAGAAAAAACAAAAAATACATTCCATACAAGTGCTGAATGCACTAGAAGACTTCGACAACAAATGTTACACGCAAGCGATGCAGGAATTCGCCAAACTAAACACCGACCCGGCCGATGTCATCAAATTGTTTCCTGAACTAGACGGCCGTACAGACGGCGAGAAAAGTGGAAAGCTGAAAGGGAAAGATTTAGAGAACGCTCTGAACGCACTTATACCGTATTTAGTTGAATTGCGAAGAAAGATCGGTAAGGGCAGTCCCGAACCTAACGGGTCTCCTCCGCAAGAGGGAACCAGCCAAAGAAACGTCGCTCAGCAGATGGAGTTGATTGATACAACGCTTCTGAAATGCTATTTAATGGTAACTAACCTGTACAAGTTTTGTTTATCGTAACCGTATTCATTAAAACCATAACAAGGTAGTACTGAAGTGAGTGGAAAGATGATGATATGGGTTTTTATTACTTAGATGGGTGGACGAGCTCACAACCCACCTGGTATTAAGTGGTTACTGGAGCCCATAGACATCTACAACGTAAATGCGCCACCCATCTTGAGATATAGGTTCTAAGATCTCGGTATACTTACAACGGCTGCTCCGCCCTTGAAAACGAAACGCATTACTGCTTCACGGCAGAAATAGGTAGGGTGGTGGTACCTACCCATACAGACTCACGAGAGGTCCTACCACCAGTTATTACGCAAATTATAATTTTGAGGGTTTGAACTAATGCATAGCGGTTGAATCCATAGACGATACAATGTCGCCTTTTTATTAAATCTTAAATCTTTAAAACTACGCAACGGATTTTGATGCGGTTTTTTTTAATAGATAGAGTGATTGAAGAGGAAGGTTTATATGTAAAATAACATCCATTAAATAGTGGAGAAATCATAAATAAATTACAGTTTCCGAAGCGAAGCGAGGGCGGGTCGCTAGTAAATCATATTATATTGATTAACTTACACGTGTAATGGCAAGACTGTAAGGTCTAAATCTGCGAACCTTTTTTGTCGTGGCTTGGTAAAGGATAAGACGTCCGTTGCATTCTTATCTAACGATGCACCGGTGTTCGAATCCCGCAGGCGGATACCAATTTTTCTAATGAAATACGTACTTAACGAATGTTCACGATTGACTTCCACGGTGAAGGAATAATATCGTGTAATAAAAATCAAACCCGCAAAATTATAATTAGCGTAATTACTGGTGGTAGGGCCTCTTGTGTGTCCGCACGGGTAGGCACCACCACTCTGCCTATTTCTGCCGTGAAGAAGTAATGCGTTTCGGTTTGAAAGGTGGGGCAGCTGTTGTAGCTATACTGAGACCTTAGAACTTATATCTCAAGGTGTGTGGCGCACTTACGTTGTAGATGTCTAAGGGCTCCAATAACTACTTAACACCAGGTGGGCTGTGAGCTCGTCCACACATCTAAGCAATAAAAAAAAACTTTATTCACGGTTTGCTAGACTAACAAGGTGATTTGTGATTTTTTAGACAAACGACGCATTCGTCGCGCCCCTGTTACGTTTGAACAATTGTCGTTTAGAGGAGGCCGAGAAGACATTACTGCAACACGGCAAGCACAGCGAACTGATAATACTGTACCAAACTAAAGGGCAGCACACGAAGGCGCTGCAGCTGCTGCGGGAACAAGCCAAGCAGCCGGACTCCAGCCTCGAGGGATATCGGGGCACTAAGAACTACTTGCAACAGTTAGGTGCGTCATTAACGTGATTGAATTTATTGCTCTAATGTTTTTTTTTATTGCCCGTGTAGGCAAACGAGCACCTGATGGTGAGTGGGTGCCAGAGGCAGAGCCAAGCCGCTGCCTACCAAATTATATCAAATAATATAAATTACTATCTGACCTGGCAAACGTTGTTTTGCCCTAAATAAGATTTCTAGGGAATTTCTAGTGTAGAAAAAAAAACTAACATATTGTGTGTAAGGATGTGGTCAATGAGTGAAAGAAGCATGTAGCGCTGTGAACGACGAGGAAATATAAAAATAACAAAACCTCATTCAACCACATAATGCATCATTATTACAAAAAAAATGTCCAAAAAATAAAAAATTAAATGTTAGGGGTGGACAACCCTTATCACTTAGGGGTATGAAAAATAGATAGTAGCCGATTCTCAGACCTACTGAACATGCATATACAATTTCATAAAAATCGGTCAAACCGTTTCAGAGGAGTATGGCAACTAACATTGTGACACGAGAATTTTATATATAAGATATCAAAATTATAAAAAAACTAAAACTAAAAAAAATCGTTACAGGTGCCGAGCATATAAATTTAATATTCAATTTTTCCGATTGGATTCTGAAAGAGAACCCCGAGGAGGGCCTTAAGATATTCACGGAAGATAAAATCGAAGTCGAAAACTTACCCCGTCCGAAAGTACTCGATTTCTTACTGAGAGAACACGAATCGCTTGTGATACCTTACCTGGAACACATAATACACACGTGGAACGATACGAATCCATTGTTCCACGACGCCTTAATAAACATGTACAGGGAGAAAATAATTAATAAAAAAGCAAATATTACCGAAGAAGAATTGCTGCATACGAAGTCGAAGCTGTTGGCGTTTCTAGAAAAATCGACTCACTACACGCCCGAGAGAGTGTTGCTTCATTTCCCTACCGATGGATTGTTTGAGGAGCGCGCCGTGGTGCTGGGGAAGCTGGGACGACACGAAATGGCGCTCGCAATATATGTACTCATCTTGGGTACGTAGAAGTAAATAATATGTAAATAATAATCTAACTTATAAGGTTGCGTATATGCATACAATTGAAAATCTCTCAATGAGTAAATTTGATTTTTTTAGCATACAAATATGATACAATGTTCTTACATGATTTGAAACTACCGTTTAAATCTATACTAATATATAAATCTACAGCGGTTTTTACGGATGTTCCATTATAACTACTGATGCACACATGCACATGCACCCGATTGACTTGAAAATTGATATCCATGTAGAATACATGTACTTAAAGGATAGGCTAATATTTATAGAAGTGTTGGACTCTCTAATAATAATGACAATAAATAATAATGTTAATTTTAAATGTCCAGCGAAGCGGGCGAGTATGGCAAGTTGCTAATATAATGATAAATCACTACATAGTATAAAACAAAGTCGCTTTCTCTGTCCCTATATCTGTCTGTCCCTATGTATGCTTTAAAACTACGCAAGGGTTTTAATGCGGTTCTTTTTAATAGATAGAGTGATTGAAGAGGAAGGTTTATATGTATAATAATATCCATTAAATAGTGGAGAAATCAATAATAACTTACAGTTCTCGAAGCGAAGCGAGCTCGGGTTGCTAGTAATAATTGAGTCGACTATTATCAAAGCCGGCAATGTGACTTTTGGATAATTATTGGTAAATCAGAAAAACGAATTATTGACTTTGTATTCCATTGGCAGTCACAAAACTCTTCTGAACGACATCTTAGATAAATAACAGGTTAAGTATTAACCTTAATAAGTAGAAATAGTATAATAACTGTAGATTAATTGGTAAGAAAAAGTCATAAAGTCAAATGCGCAAAAGCAATAAGATAATACATGCATTTTCAATGCAAAAGTTCAAAATGGGTCATTTGACCCCTTATGGTATGTTTAATGTTAATAAACCCTTATTTTATTAACAAATCTCGATAACGGATTTTAAATCTTAATTTTAACACTTTCATCAGTACCGACAGAAGATACGACAATAATAAAAAATATATAAAACATACAGTACGGAAAAAAAAGGTTGCAGATAAAGAACAAGTTTACAAACTAAATTTAATTCGAAAAAATTACAATTTAAATGTTACTCTAAATTAATTTGACATGGTGTGTCTTGATCGGTGTGAGACCCAAGAGTGCTGTGTCTTATATACGAATTGAGAATACGAAGTGGTTATTAGTCACGTAGTCCCCTCACGTTGTGCCTTGCGTAACATACTTTAAAATAGCTTATTGTTTTTTTTATTGCTTAGGTGAGTGAACGAGCTCACGGCTCACCTGGTGTTAAGTGGTTACCGGAGCCCATGGACATCTACAACGTAAATGCCGTCAACCACCTTGAGATGTGAGTTCTAAGGTCTCAGTATACTTACAACGGCTGCCCCGCCCTTCAAACCGAAACGCATTATTGCTTTACCGCAGAAATAGGCAGGGTGGTGGTACCTACCCGTGCGGACTCATAAGAAGTCCTACCACCAGTAATTACGCAAATTATAATTTTGCGTGTTTGATTTTTAATACACGATCTTATTCCTTCACTGTGGAAGTCAATCGTGAACATTTGTTAAGTACGTATTTAATTAAAAAAATTGGTACTTGTCAGCGGGATTTGAACATCGTTGCATCGCTACATACGAATGCACCAGACGTCTTATCCTTTAGGCCACGACGACTTCAATATACGATGACGATGTTATAATATGATATCAACGCTTAAGTTTTAATGTTTTCAGGGGACGTGGAAAGAGCGATGCGATACTGTGAAAACGTGAGTGAAAATCTCAAGGACAAGAGTCAAGACGTTTACGTTATCCTCATGAAGATATTGATGAATCCCGATCAGATTGCCGCCCTTAGCGGACCGCTCGCCAACGTACCAAGACACCCGAAAACGTCAGTGCCCGATCTAGAAACGGCTCTGGATATATTGGAAAAACACGCTGACAAGATCTCTCCCTTAAAAGTAATTTCAAATATTTTACCTCTCTGCCGTTGCAGGTTGATTAGTGCCGATGTAAATTGAATTTAAAGGAATTATTCACCAATCTAAAATATACCTTAACATATAAGCATATAAGAATATTTATTTGTTAAGATAAGAATTTGTTGTGTTATCTACTTCATACTTTTATCTACTTCATACTTTCTGTGGCCGCAATGAAAAGCAAAAACAACCAGTCGATTATTAATCGTGATACATTACGTGCAGTACCAGAATGATGGATTAGTAAAAAAATTTATTACATGTCAACTGATTCGTCACTGGATAGATTTTTATTACCCTTCCCAAATACCTATTCTTAAAAGATGAGAGGGACACACAGAAATCCATTGCGGACTGAGCCTCGCGTAATTAAGTTGATAACTTTCATTTACGGACACTTGGCTTATTTGTGTTGATACCTAAGATAAAATATTTTACTGGTAATATGACGTCTTGTGAGTTCGCGCGGGTAGGTACCACCACCCCGCCTATTTCTGCCGTGAAGAAGTAATACGTTTCGGTTCGAAGGGCGGGGCAGCCGTTGTACTATAAAAACTGAGAACTTAGAACTCATATCTCAAGGTAGGTGGCGGAATTTACATTGTAGAGGTCTATGGTTTTCGGTAACCACTTAACACCAGGTGACAAGTGAGCGCGTCCACACACCTAAACAATAAATAAATAAATACTCATTTCTGTCAGCCATTTTACGTGTAATCGCATCAGCTTTGGTCAGCTTCGTTCTTGCTGATGTCCTCGTGAGACATATGAGACATAGAAGCTTAAAGATAAAATGCAGTTAACTCAAAATACATTCAGCCTTTTTGCACCTCGTTGAAGATAATGTTGATAAAGAATAGCATCGTTGTCGTATTACTGTATTTAATGTTGTTTCTCAGGCACTCGCAGTATTACCAGATTCGGTGCCGCTTAGCCGATTGAAACACTTTCTGGAAAGCTCATTAGAGGCTCAACTCACGTTGAAACGGAGAATGCAAATACTCAAAGGACTGTTGTATGCGGAACATATGCAGGTAATGCCTAATGCCTATTTCATCTTTACTCTACTTATACAAATCAGAAGCTTCCGTGGTCTACAGGGCGAGGCGTCCCGTGACGTAATTATGTACATAATACTGTGCTCATAAATAATACAGGTTGCAAATGGGTACGGTTCTGTACATGGTAATTGTTATTATAATTGAAATACTCCACCTTGGGGTGTCTCTTTATTTTGATAAATGTTCGAAGTTCTTAATGTACTCTATCGAGCAATGCGACCATGCCGGTGATCCAATCCCGCAGGCAACATTTCGGCCGCGAACCAATTATACATTTCGGTCCGATAGGCGGAATAACTTATATCCAATACAATTGAAACTTCGGCCTCATTCATGAACAGTGAAAGGTTCACCTGTGCGGGTTATTGAAAAAAAAAAAAAAAGTATCATGCGACTGGGTGATCTTCAACCCTGTGGTAATAATAACAAATTGTATGTTTTAGGTCCAAGAGCTGAAGCATTACCACGAATCAAAGAGTGTAGTTATAAACGACTACGACGTGTGTCAAGTTTGCAAGAAGCGCTTCGGTCATCAGAGCGCGTTCGTGCGCTATCCAAACGGTGACATTGTTCATTATTCGTGTAGAAGCGATAAATAGAATGTTACCGGCGTTTACCTAACTAATACAAAATGAATTTCAGAACTGCTCTTCGTTTCTTGATAGACTTTTTTTTTTTTTTTTTTTGTGCTAATGAATTCGCGATCATTCAGCCTACCTGAGAATTAGTGGCTAGGCAAACTGCTGTCTACCGCATAGGAAATAATTTGAAAGGAAACTCATTTGCAGAGCCAAAAGCCTAATAGCTCTGGAAATGGCATTGGATGATCGCTGTGGCTACCGGTGGTGGTGACGAACTTTGCTTCAGAGGCAAGTGATGTGATGGTGAAAAATACGATATTATTTCCATCAATTCGTTACAGCACTACCAAAATTTAAAATGATGTTCAAAGCAAACAATATAATATAATTATTTGTTACGAAAATATTTATTTTTGATATGTCTCTACTGTGATAATATGATTGTTAACTTATGCCGCGAGTTGTAAGTAATTCGTGACAGAAATTACGTTCAGAATAAAATGTTCGTTAACTTAGGTTATATTTATAATGAAACAGCTATCATTGAACTAAGAACAGTTTTGTAATATTGTCAACGTCGATATGGTATCTCGTTGGTGTAAAAATGTTTAAATACGCAACGAATTGTAACGAGAGTTGCTGCCTCTAATTTGATAAAAGAGAAAATCGACTATTTTCCTTCGTGATAATATATAAAGAGAATGCAATAATACATTTTATTTAATAATAATATATTGTGAATGAGTTTTTGTATAATATGGCTATGATTTAGAAATTTTATTCAGTTTTCTAGCATCCGACAAACGCATTATGTACACTCATATATAGTGAGTTTCAAACAAGAACGTGCAAGTCAATGACCTTGATCTGTCAAAGTTCGACAAAAAATTATGGACAGCAACAAAAAAAAAATTAAATTATTTTATGATTTTTTTGCCTAATTATGAAGACTATTGATATGCTTGTTTTAATGAACCATACATACACCCTATATAATTTTCTTGATATGACGAGTACTGGTCGAGGTAAATTAAACGTGAATTTAGATTATATAAGAAAAAACACACCTATTTAAAAATCAAGGCTGCAATCCTGTCGGGCCCTATAATCTATCGATGGGCGACGATGATTATGATTACTGAAGCAGTGGGACCAGTGGAACCGGCAAACTCGAAGATTTGGATTATAAATTAATATAAAAAAATTCCCACCTTTTTTACTGACTTTACTTATTTTTTTCGATCTGACAGCTATGACGTCACAATATAGCGCAGGTGCATGCACATTCTTATTTGAAACGCATTATAAATAAATAGAATTATAGTTTTATTTAAAAGAAGTAAAAGTATTTTCAATTTGATTATTCGCTTGTATTATTTTGATAATTCCCGTGAATACGCTTGAGTAATGTTTTTTAGCATAAACGGGCGAACGACCTCATTAGTATAAAGGCTGTCACTTTAAATGAAATCGCGTGAATGCTTCGCGGTAGAAACGGGTAGGATGGTGGCACCGTTTTTTTTATCGCAGTTATGTTGGACTCAAGCGCCTCCAAAGAAATAGTGGGAGAGGTCGCGGATCGAAGTTCTCGCCCTCTTCTAATTGATCGTAGGAGACTACGCCTTTAGAGAGGCGCGCTAAAGCCGCCCCACAGAACCTACTACCGACTGAACCCCAACGAGTTCCTCTTTTCCGAAGACTTAGTCAGTTAGACCGACAGATAGAGTATTTTTTTGTTTTTCATAGATGTGTGAACGAGTTTACAACCTACTTGGTGTGAAGTGGTTACTGGAGCCCATAGACACCTGCAACGTAAATGCGCTACCCACCTTGAGATTACAACGGCTGCCCCATCCTTCAAACCGAAACGCATTATTGCTTCACGGCAGAAATAGTCGGGGTGGTGGTACTTACCCGTGCGGACTCAAAAGAGATCCTACCACCAGTAATTACGCAAATTATATAATATAGAGTTCTAAGTTTTTATAGTACAGTGGCTGCCCCACCCTTCTAACCGAAACGCATTACTGCTTCACGGCAGAAATAGGCAGGTTGGTGGTATCTACCCGCGCGGACTCACAAGACGTCCTATCACCAGTAAAATATTTATAAATATTTCATTTTAAACATTTCATCTTAGATATCAATACAAATGAGTCAAGTATCCGTAAATGAACGTTATCAACTTAATTACGGTACCCACGGTTCCGCAAAAGGACGATGGCACCATTGGGTTTTACTATTCACTACCGATTATTTTTTTGTGGGTTTGATTTTTTGTGTTATACTCAAAATTGATATTTACATACATATGAGATTTAAATACAGACGGTCGCATCGCTCGATAGGCGTACACAAAGCGTCTTATGATCCCGATGACTTCAAAATATTAATTCTATTATATAGGAATATCACGACCAAGGTGACATTGGTATTCGGGTTATGCTTTCTATGGGTCTCGATAAAACAACTAATATATTATTATTATTATATTAATAAATAAAGGTTTTATAAAATTTTCCTTGTTGGTCGTTTCAATGGGAGAAGTATTGGTTGGGTGGGTATCAAAGCCAATTTAATTTCTTAACCAAGCGCCCGCTATAAGAAGGGAACGGGTGAGTTGCGCTGATACGGTCTACCTCTTTAGCAGATTTTATATTTTGGTTTTCTGGCCTACTCATTAAGGAAAACTGGTTCGAAGGTGAATCTAAATTTTACTGTTGGCTGATATTAGCGCCTTGCTATTTTCTTGTCAGATAATTTAATCATAGTATAGTATTCACCGACTTCTAAACGTACATTTTAAATAAAGTTTATTTCGTTGAGAATGTGTTAGTTAACGACTATGTTACATGCAAACGTTAGAAAATTCGTGTGTGAAAAGTGTTTCCATAAAAACACACAACGAGCAAACTTTTCGAGTGTGAACTTAAAACGTCATAAGTTCAACATCAGTCGGTTGTTTATTTGATGCGATGTTGAAGCCGTTAAAACTGCGACGGCATTTATAATACATATTATTTGTATAGTTAAATTGTGCACAATAATACAGATTTCTATCTTTTGATTTTAAGGAAATTAAACAATGACATTTCAGGTCCGGATTTGTCATCACTGGTCAGATTGTTTTTGTTCCCTACCTATTTGCTGCTACCCTATTCCCTATCCCAGCTTCTCGCGGACGGGTAGGTTCAGGAGCACACGGGTTCAACTGAGAGAATTTGCTTAGCAAGAGCAGTGCTTCGCAGAATCGTCGTGGCCTTGATGATAAGACGTCCACTGCATTCGCGTTGAGCGATGCACCGGTGTTCAAATCTCAGGCGGGTACCAATTTTTCTAATGAGATACGTACTCAACAAATATTCACGATGGACTTCCACGGTGAAGGAATAACATCGTGTAATAAAAATCAAACCCGCAAAATTATAATTTGCGTAATTCTAGTGGTAAGACCACTTGTGAGTCCGCGCGGATAGGTACCACCACCCTGCCTATTTCTGCCGTGAAGCAGTAATGCATTTCGGTTTGAAGGGTGGGGCAGCCGTTGTAACTATACTTAAGACCTTAGAACTCATATCTCAAGGTGGGTGGCGCAACTACGCTGTAGATGTCTATGGGGTCCGGTAACCTCTTAACACTAGGTGGACTGTGAGCTCGCCCATCCATATATAGGTATATAGGCCCATCCATAGGTTATTAAAAAAGCACGGTGTTATTCTTTATCCATTGAAGTCGTTCGTGAACACGTATTTTAATATGTACTTATGCGTCTTCGGAATTCGAACGCCGGCATAGTCGGATCGCTCGATAATAGTCGGATCGCTTTTGGTAATGACGACTTCAAACAGGTACATATGATAGTTTTTAAAGCTAGAGTGTTCAGTTTTGAGCCCTGTGAGCTCATCTACTCACCCGGTACGCTGATATGGTATCTCAAGACCATCAGCTTAGGTAGGTAGGGAAAAAAAGGTAGAGTCGGGAAGACGAGTATATCAGTCAATTTCTTGTTCTACATGATGTTTAAAAGAGTCCAGTGATCTCACAAAGTAACCAACCCCACACCATGAGATCTTGTTTTTTAATCCTACTTAAACTACTTTTGCTCAAATTATGTTTTTTTTTTGTTTGAAATACCTACGTTAATAAAATTAATTGAAGTTACATTTTTTCAATCAAAGTCTGTCAGTATGAGTCACAAGGCCTTAATTTGCTTATCAATGACGGTGATTATGAAAAATAATTATTTGGGTACATATGCGTGTATGTAATATGTACGTATCCTATATGGTTAGTTATGACGCAACATCGGCGACGACATCGCGATGAACGGGAGCCGCCACTACCGACGCTCAGACGCTCGCCTCTGTGGCCCAATGGATAAGGCATCGGCCTCCTAAGCCGAGGATTGTGGGTTCGAGTCCCACCAGAGGTAAAACGGTTAGCATTTTTGTTAGACAACTGACGTGACATGCTAACTGATTAGAAAAACTTGTTGTCAACAAAATAATATATTTCAAAGTGTGCCTTTGTAGAATAAAATACACATTATAATAAAGTACACATATACTGTGCACGTATGTGTTTATTACCTACCCGTTTTCGTTGACATGTACTGTTTATCACCATCAAAGATAGTCATCGATCTTTTTTTAAATTGGATTAATAATGCTTATTATACAGGTAATTAATCAATTACCACCACTCTCCAATTTATCTAGTATGATCCGGCTATAATGTTCTAAACTACATGTAGCCGCGGTTTCACTCGCTTTCAATGTTTAATTCAGAAATAATTAAACACATTACATTTTCCGGTATAGAGAGCTCTTCGTGTCACACTCCGGTCCATAAACTACCAGTCGAAGTAGCTTCATTTTTACGTAAAATCACGGACACGCGAAAAAATCGAGTTTATAAAAAAATATACCCAAGTTTAGAAATTAACATAAAAATTTTCACTTAACAATATTAGTGTAAAATTACATAAATAGATTACAATTATGTACATATCATATTATCATGGATGATTTACAATTGATAAAAGTTTCATTACTGATGCCTTATATGTTAATAATACATCTAAAAATACAATAAGTACGTGGGAACTGCTTATATTATATATTTTTATAAAAGCTTAAGGCCAAGGTAGTGTATTCGTTTGCCTTGAAACAAAAGTAAAAAAATATACATATTAAATAGAATGATGGCTCTCCAGCTTTAAAAATGAGATGTGCGTGTTCGCGGCACAACTACATATATAGGTAGGACGATGATCGGTAACCATTTAAAACCAGATCAGCAGCATGCTCGTTAATGTGTCATTAATTCCAATAAACATTTATGATGAAATCATTTCATTACCTAAGATGAACAGACGAACTCATCCATCTTTCGACCTGTGTGCGTAGTGCGAGTTTTTTAACGTTCTCGATAGCATAAAAGTTAACTTAAATTTGTATGCAGTCGGAACAGAGCCCCTAACGGCAAACGTTCTAACTCCATACAAATTAGAGTTAACTTTTACGCTACCGAGAACATTAAAAAACTTGCACTAAGCACACTGGACGAAAACACACAACAGTGGCACACTGTATATATATATATATATACTCGTACTGGCTATACCTATATTATACACCTACCATTAGTGTGTATACGCAAATTTAGAAATTTTAATTACACCATGTTTTTTCTTTACGGAAGTAACGTATGTTAGTTACGTATTTCTAAGAAAAAAATAACCTGCCGGCGATATTTCAATCCTGTGCGGACCGAATGGTAAACAGTCGACGTCGCCCTAAAAACGTCATTTCTGTTCCTCCCGATCCATTAACGGTGCTTTTAGGTACCTCAAGCACCGGTCACTGTTCTCGTCGAACCCGTCGTTTGCGACGAAGGGCTCGGCAAGCGAA